CAGCCCTAACCATTCTATGATTCTATAAATTGCAGCACCGTAACGTTCATCTCGAGTTTTCCCCAACCTGAAAAACCCCAAAATCTTCCTGGTTCATGAAGAGTTAACCTGCCCTGTTACAATTTTCTTCTTTAAGAAAACTAGTATTTCCTCCCAGAACCGAATGTCTCTCAATCTTCTCTTGTGAATTGTTGAAGAAATCCACAAATGTCACATTTAATTTTTAAAAATAGAGCTACATCAAAAAATGCTAAGTACAATGTAGGTGGATTTCAGTGATTAGGTACCAGTCAGACTTGGCAGGAAACAGGACTAAACACAACGGTCAGAGTAGAGATCCTGCCTAACTTTAGTCTCACATGCTACAAACTAAAGGATCGCCTGGAAGTGTCAATAGCAGCTAGGATATGTGAGTGTCTGCAGGACAAGGAACACATCTAACACATTTTTCGGACCTGTGAAGCTCTTGTATCAAAGGTCAGTGCCACTACAGTCTTCTAGAAGAAAGCAAGGCAACGCCCCACCTCCAGTGTCTTAACTGCCAAAGAGCTAGAGTTAGGGACTCCTGTTCTCTTGTCGTTGGCCAAATTTAAACAGATGCTGGGTTTCAAATAGCTGCCTCCTTTTGACATTCCTTCATGGCTCACTAAGGTTGGCCCCTTGCTAGTTTGCTACTTGTGCCTATTTCTACAATCCTTAATTCCATAATTAAGCCAGGCACTTAAAAGTTAGTATGGCAGTTTTGGGCACTGCAATGTCTACATCTTATGGGTCTGGATCTTAATGTGTAGCCCTCTAGAAATACAGTAAATTTCTAGATACTTAGGTGCTTTTAAAAATTGTGTTCTTCCACTTATGAAGCTGAAACTTTTGTTTTCTCAATATCCCCATTTACCTCTACTATATATGTGATAAACCGAGATATATTCCATCAGACTCTCTATGGCAGTTGATATGCTGGCTCAGAGGCCTGAGAGCACCCCTGGCTGGGTTGTTGCTGCCGAGGCTCCTGGCACTTCCCACACCTGCCCATGTCACAAGACCCCATGCCAACCCCTGCCCCAGCAGTGCCGCAGCAGGATGGGTCTCCAGCTCCCCACAGCCCTGGCCTGGCCATGAGCTCTGCCAAGCTGGGCCCATCCACGGGCCAACATCTCAGCCCAGCCTCAGCTCGTCCCTGTTCCCAGGGAGCTGCCCAATGCCCAAGGCTGGAGCTGCCTTGCTCCTGGCTGGGGTGGTGGGACCAGCTCTGGCTGCCAGGCCCTGTCCTGATGGCCTTGTTACCACACTCTGCTGCCAGCTCCCTGTTCCTTTGGGAGCAGTTGGCCCTCACAGTGTCCTGGCATGCTGCCCCGAAGATGAACTGCAAAACTTAATTTTAATTGAGCCACTTTTAAATAATAGGTTAACAAATATGCATTTTGGCAAGTATTTTTGTGATTTTTTTATACAGCTTTGAATAACACGGTTATTAGACTGAGACCTCAGTGGCTAACCTTCTCTGTATTTGAATGGTTATTAGTCCAAACACAAACCAAAAGGCATACCATTAAGCAGAAATTCCTTGCAGATTTCAAACAGTCTGATCTTGAATTAGAAATTAATTTTTGCTTGAAAATGTTTATATATATTTGCGTTTTACTAAACTACACATTCATTCTGTACATGTCATTACATTAGTTATCTACTGCAATGACATCTCTGTCTCTTGCCGTAATTCTAAATAGGAACATGAAAATACCTTCCCTTTTCAGTATGTTAAAAGATGTAGTGCAAATGTCACAAATAATTATGTTGCATTCTGCAGTGATGCATTCCAAATGAAACAGAAACGTAGCCAGGTAAAGCCTGCCTAAATTTGGGCAGCACTAATGCGCTACATAATGATGATTCCATTAGGAATACAGATTTTAAGAAAATAAGCAAAGGATACATTAATAACTAGGTTACACTAACTGCTTTTTGCACACATTATCCCTGGCACGTTCACAGTGTAGAAATCACATGTGCTGCCTTGTGATCCACAGCCCTATTCAAAGTAATAATGTACGGAAGACGATAAGGCGTGCTGTCTGGATCTAGCCTTCAACAGATCGCCTTTCATAGTCCTGCCCTTTGAAAACCTCTCAGTTCTGAGCAGGTCATGAAATTTTGGAAATATACAGGCAGAATAATGGATTTAAATGAATATTTGACATAATCTGAGATGGAATATTGAATATTTTACTCTGAGGGTGGTGAGGCACTGGAACAGGTTGCCCAGAGGAGTTGTAGATGCCCCATCCCTGGAAGTGTTCAAAGCCAGGTTGGATGAGGCTTTGAGCAACCTGATCTAGTGGAAGGTGTCCCTGCCTATGGTAGGGGGGTGGAACTAGATGATCTTTGAGGTCCCTTCCAACCCAAACCATTCTACGATTCTATGGTAACAAATCCACTCAACAGAGTGCTTCCCATATGAACCTGAATCACAGAAACACATTTCATGTTACACCTCTCCTCATAGGCTGTATTCAGCAAATGATGGACCAGCATGTGTTCCAGCTTTGATTCTCTGCTCTAGGCACAGAATTCCATCTGATTACCTCTATCTGAGAGTTTTCTTGCTTAAGGAAACTTATCCAGCAGCAATTATTGTATACTTAGGGAGTTTTAAATAAGATTACATAGACTTAAGTGAACTGGAGAAACTTTCCCCTGAGAAGAGGGGAGAAGTAACAAAAGAAAAAATTATTACATTCCTAGGGAAAAGGTATGGCCCAAAAATTGGACAAGCCCAACATTATTTGGTGTTGGTTCAAATATTTAAACCTTATTATGACAAAAATGTTGCTTCCCTGGCGTTTGGTTTGTTTCAAACTGAGTGGGAGGGACCAAAAATACTGAGATATTTTTAAATAAGGCAGCTGTACCTTTGCTATTAGATATAAATTATAATAATTCTGCTTGCAGAGGCGATTTACAGTGAGAAGAAACATAGTCAGGAAAAATACTTGAAAAGACAGTAATGGTATAAAAATAAATGGATCTAAAAATGCAAACAAGTTTCTTTCACAGGAGGTGGCGGTCTGTCTTAACGGTGCTATTCTTAATTTCTTTTCTTATCACAGAGGTGATAGGAAACAATCCTCCCCAGTCCTAAATCTGAAGCTTTCACAGGGAATGCCTATATGGCAATCTCTCATATTCTTTTGCTCTGTGTCTTCTTTGCTTTTGCTGAGCATAGTTACCATAGAGACAAACAATCCTCAAAGGCTTTCTGCCCCCACATTCTCCAAGTGAGTTGTTGGGGAAGGAAAGGCTTTAATATCTTTTTTTTCCCTCCAGTTCTGCTAGTATTAGATATGACTTGTTCTGCTCTCAGTCCATATTCAGCAACAAAAAAGATGAAAAAAATCCTTCTTTCCTCCCCTCTCAAACACTGCCAAAGCTGAGACAAAGACACCAAAAGCCACCATGTCTTCTTCGTTAAGGTTTAACTATCAAAATAAACAGAAAGGCAAAACATAGGATAGCAGTGACACTTCTATTCCTTGGAACTGCTATTATTTCATTATGAATATATTTTCATTTGTCTTTTTGAAAAAGAACATGCAGTTTGTTTGTACAGACTTTCCATTACTTATAAATATATGCTGCCAAATAATTTTCAGCGTATTACAGTGAAATGTACTTGGTAGACAGACTGATATTGTGTGTACTGATTTATGGCGTTTGGAAAAAAAAGCAGTTTGGTTTACAGTTAACTAAGTTGATTCTTTTTAATGCACAAAGATATTTAACAGCCTGCTATTTAAAATAAAATTATGTTAGATTTATTTCTCTTTTGGACTTTAACATATTCTACAAATTCTAGTATATAAAAGCTAAAACGTGTATTTCAAAAACTAAAGCAGACAGACTGTCTCCATTAAAGATGAGTTGCCTTCCAAGTGTTTTTTGAGAGAAGGCTACTATGGGATTTTATGTATCTTTTCATTAGCTTACGGTTCTATGCAGTTCCACGTTGTGCAGTACTTCACCTTATACTGAAAAGAAGGAAACATGACTCCATGTGAAGTCAAGCTGTTAGCAGGATAGTGGATGACTGAGGAAAACACAGGACATATTTTGATAATTCACATCCAAAGTTAAAATTCATCCTTTCCTATTTTTCCCAAGATCTCTTGCCACAGGGAATGGACTAGTAATTTCTGATTAATGTGGATATAATATTGATTTGAAAATGGCCTGTAGAACTGGGATTTGTGAAAATCACAGACAGGTGTTTGTGAATACCACAGTTTGATTATTTCCTGTTTGGTTTTTTTTTTTTCCCCATTTTTTCCTAGTATTTTCTTTCTACTTTTTGTGGGTTTTTTGAGTTACAATCCAAGAGAGTGACTTTCAAAAGTATTTTTAAGTCTGATTTCCCTCCCTTATAACTTCATCCTGTAGCGAGTGCTCATGGATTTCTGAATACAAGAGGTTATGTCAACCTGGAATTTCAGCAATGCTCACATTATTTTTTATTTCCATAGATCCCTGTAGACATTTATTAATTTGGTGTTTAGGTAGTAGAGGCAATAGTGGGATTTTGCTCTTTTTCAAATTGCAAATACCTGGTGCATTGTTTTTAACAGGAAAAAACAACCTGCCTTTAATTGGATTTATAAGTGTTTAAATAACTTGAACCTGACTATTCCCGCATAAACTTCTTTAAAAGAAAAAAAAAGTTAAGGAATGATATTTACAGCCAATTTTCAAATATAGTAAAAGCTTGCAGAAAAGGAAAGCATACAATTTTTGATACCAGCAAGTAAAAGAGATTATATGTGCTAGAAGGCCAACCTGTAGATTTAGATTCTTCTTCGTAACCTGCAGAGCCACTGGACTGTTTCTCGGGTATTTGTTCAGTTTGAGGTGGAAGCTGCTCGTCTTCATCCTCAAATTCTGTTGGCACAAATAAAATAATTAGAAACTTTAATATACCCATCGAGGGGTGATGGAGGCACTATAGAAATAAAGATATTTTTGGATGACACTGCAAAACTTGTATTTGATCACCTGCAAAAGAAGAGTTAGTTACTTTAATGCTCATATATTACACGCTGACCAAAACATTTTAAGATCAGCTACCTGATCTGTGCAGGAAGGCAGACTACGTCAGATGCCACATGACTGTGAATAAAGAGAAGTAGTACTTAATATTTTTCATTCATTATAATCGATGCATTTTGTGCTCAAAACCAAGAACTTGCAAAAGAGCACACTTGGTGTTCTACAGAACAGCTCCTATTGGGTGGCAGTGCTTCTGACTTGGAGGGCTTGCGCACCTGAAGTCTGATGTAATTTTCCTGACTGTATCAATCAGGCAATAAAGAGTATTACTTTTTCCTACAAGCCTTGTTTTGCTTAGACCATTATGAGAGTAATAAAACATCACTAGTACATCTCAACATGTTCCGATTACCCAAAACTCCAATCATACTAAACAAGACTGTATTTTAAAATCTGTAATTATGGCATTTAATTCCATGTACATCTCTTTTTCTAGCAAAGAAATGACAAACGTCATGACAACCAGGTTGGAAATACTGAATTTCTGATTTATGCAGAATCAGGAAACTTAATCTCATAAGCAAGCATCTTTTCCTTATATGGTTAATGGGCAAAAACCCACAACCTTTAGCATGGGTAAAATTGAGAAAATTCTTCACTTATTCTAGTTCTTTACTTCCTTTTGATATACACAGGAATGCAGCCAAGGAAAATGAGTTTTGGTGCTCTGTAATAAGCAAATCAAGAGTCTACAATATACACAAAGAGGAAAACGACATGCAGAAAAATATGTGCAAAACGGAAGACGCTTTATTAAGGCTGTCAACATGCAAGTTCTCACATGCACATATAACTTAATCACAGACAGACCCAGAGACTGCAGTGGAAACAGCTGTGGCAGAGAAGCTAAGCACGTGTACATTTTTACAGTCTGTCTAAACACTTGAGAGGTTTCATTTACAAGATTGTGCTGGACAAAGTCAATGAAAACAGATGGACAGACATTAAACAAAGTAAATTAAGATGTCCTTTTTCTTATAGATGCTCAGAAAGTGAAAAGAGCTTTCAGAGAGGCTGATAGCTCTAATCATAGGCTTTTGCTCTTTCTTTCTGTAAGGGAATGCATAGCTGGACTAAACCAATATTCCTCAACCTTTATTTTGCTGAATGAGAGACTAAAAGGATTTAAGAACTGAAGGTATTTGGGATCTAATTGAGAAAGTTATTCATAACCTTTCTGTTTCAAATTTTGAAATTTCTCTGCCTAAAATGCCATGCTTATGGATGTTAGAATGTAATTATCATACCTGGCTTATGAAGGAGGTCAGAAAGTGGCTTTGAAGATCATTCAGCTTTGCTCAAAGACTGAACAAACTGTGAAGTTAATATCACTTCAGCTTGCTTTGAGGTTTGTGGTACAGTAATTTGCTATCCCCTGTCTGCAGACTAATACACTGTCCTTGTTCACACTCTCTCACAGAAAGGCCTCCAGTTAGAGGCAGAAAAAAACCCAAATCAAAACCAAAGCAAATATATTTAGAGGCTGTAGGACTAGGAACACATCAACTGCCTGGTAAATGTTATAATTACAATTTATTCCAAAAAGCACTTATCTTCTAAGACTAAAGAGGAAATGTCTTAACATGTACAGGCTTAATTATTATTTATTTTTTGTTGTTGTTTAAAATATCTTACTGAATTTAACATGATTATAAAAAATAAAAAAGCAAGAACATAAAATACAAGCTAAAAAGATGGGTATTTATTCAAACCTCCACCATCTGTGATATGAGAAAGGGGGGTTGCGATCAATATTAAAGAGTTATAAACGATTGATTTTAACAGCTGTGAAGGACAAGCATGGGCGGCGACAGCTGTAATTATCAGCTCCAGCTACCCATTTATTTCTTGCAAGAGCTTCTGCCCAAATAGTAAGAGCAGCAGAAGAGACATCAGGGAAGATGGGGTTGTACTAACACACCACCCTGAGCTACAGTGACTGAGGCATAGGCATATGTGTGTTTCACTTTAGTCTGCTACAGGAAGAGGGTAATTCCTGACAGCAAAGTAGGGCTGACAAATAAAGTCTTACAGCATGAAAACTGCTTGCTTCAGTGGGTGAGATCAATTGTATGGGATATTTTATTGCTGAAGTAGGGCAGGAAAGAAATATACCAAGTTTTACTTCAGGAAGATTGGAATGAACTCACAGATCTACCTGAAGCTGTGTAACTCTTCTACAATGCCTGAAATATATTCTCATGAAGTCATACAGCTGTCTCCTAGTATAAATAAATCCATACTCATGCAAAGCTGCTGCAATAATGCTTAAATACAGTAAGAAATTCCTGGAAATAATTTAAGCTCAGAATAATTGCATCAAGGGACATGAAAAGAGATGTGGGGCTATAATTTTCAGCTAGACACTACAAGCAAGAGTTACCACATAAATTGTTTTGTGTACCTTAAAAAGACATTTTCAGCATTGAACTTATCTTCCTAACTCACTTAAACACATTTGTTAAATTTACCGAAAGTCTCCTTCTTCATTTACTTTCGCTCTCAATACGATACGTGTAAGTACCTTGCTCATTACTGGAACCATTTTTGCCTTTTAAACACAAATGATATTATAAATTTGAATATGTTCAGTCCTGAAGCAATCCCAGTTACTTCAATGTCCCACTGAGGTTACAAAAATTGCAACTATTGAAATGCACATTTATTTATATGAGACATCAAAAGAGCATGATTTGGGCTCTGAAGGATTTTTTTTGAGTTTTCATTTTTGTAGCATAACTGCTATATAAAACCCAAAACTGTGAACATATCATTCACTTATATTTTTATAAAGACATGTCACATGGGAGAAAAACTGCAGTCAATGTGCTGATGAGACTGCATGTGAAATAAAACAGATGTCAGGCTGAGAGCAGCATGACCGAAGTGTTTTGGTGATTCAGTATTTGATTACTGAAATCAAATGTAGGCGTAGGAAAAGAAGATTTTCTCTGAACAAGGACTTATCACGTGTTAAGAGCACAAGTGTATATATTACATTATTACTTCTGTCATTAATAATTGTTTTGCTGAGGTAGATATTAAAAACTAAGATGAATTTTGTTGTTTGACAGGTATAATAGAGTATCTGTGTAGAACCCTTTATATTTAACACTTTAGAGCTCATTCACTTTGGAGAAGAGCTATGTGTTTTATTAGGATGTATTAAAAGTTATAATGTATAATTTTTGAAAGTTTATATATAATTTGAAGAACCCTACAAAGCTAGAGTATTTTTTTCAGAGAGTAGGTGAAATGTTACCTAATTAGAAATTAAAAGCGTGCTATCATATTCAGTCTATCTTACACTACCTTTATGACTTAGCCCTTGTTATATTTAAGTAAAATAAATGCAGACTGAATAATGAAAGGAACTGTATGTCAGACATATTGACAATACAAAACTTAAGTTTGGCCATAATGTTTTTCCACAGAAGCCAATGTTATGTTTGAAAGGAAGACAGTAATGGCAATCTAGGCCCCCACTGCTGAGAGAAAATAAAAGTGGGAATTAACGTGCTTCAATTTTTGATTTTGGCTCCAGGCCATAGGTGATAATTTAGGCTATGATGGAGAAACCTTGAGATCCCATAGCAGAGGAAGAAAATACTCTACAGACCCCAACCTAGTTCCCAATGTAGAGAGAGATACTCATGCATGGTAGTTCATCCTGATAGAAAATCCAAATCAGATAGAAACATTCTTCTAAGAAAGCAGGCAGTGATTAAAGAAGGTAAAAAGGAAAGTACAACCCTACAACTTTTTGACTGTTGAGCTTTAAAAACTTTGAAACTAACGAATTAATTCTAAACCTCAATCCAACTGACGGAATTGTCTGAGGTGCAAAAAATCCAGCCTATTTTTTACAATTGGTCTGCTCCCAAAATCTCACTCCTCACAGATTATTCATTCTTGCCCAGGACAATTATATTTTCATTGCTGGAAACAAAGTATAGCACAATTCTGATAGAAAAGTAGGATATTTACAGGAAATAAAGAGTGGCTAAATAAAAATAATACGGAGTTCTGTCAATACATAAAGAAGCAAAGTAAGAAAGTCTTTACCTAAAATGTGTTATTAATGTTGTTATTAGAGGGGAAACCTCATGTAATACACACAATTCCATTATTTTTTTGTGTTGTTAGGTTATGTTAATAAAGGCTAATCTCCATAAGCACAAAGCAGGAGAAGAATATTGAGAGGTGGAGGTACCCCAATAACCTTGTCAGAATAAACATAACCTTGACTTTGCTCCCTTCAGGGTCATTAAAAGAAGATGATGAAGGCATTGCCTGGGTGTGAGATCTATTGAGATGAATCAACCAGAGAGGCTCTCCCTGGTTGAGCGGAATTACTGCCTACAGAGTATGAGATTCATTAGGGAATGCCAGGAAAAGCAGTTTGGGATTGTGAGAGACTTACAATATTACAAAGCATTTCTGAGAAGGATCAAAGGCAAAGAAAAGGAGGAATCAAAGTGGATCGAGGAGGAAGAAGCATGGATAATAGAGTAAGAAGAGGATGAAAGGGGAGATGGGAATACATGCTTAGACTCATTACTGCATGGTCCTGCGGACATGGAGCTGCAGCAGCCTCATCTCTACTGGGCTACTGGATTCAGCAATTAATAATGTATGTTGCTACCAGATTCAGCAATTTTTAATGTGTATTAAGAGAGCCACTCCTGGAATAATTTCCATTCCCCTTTAATTGCTTCAGGTTGAGCTTCTTGGAGGAAGAACAGAAAACCAGGCAGTTTTGTGATTTTCTTATTAGTTTTTGGCTAAGTTCTAACAATGCTTTCTAACTTGTGAGAGGATAGATTTTTTGATGAGTAGAAAGTTTCAATACAGTTAATAACCCACTTAGAAAAGTTACTAGGGGAGATAGAGAGCCCTGTCCTTTGGATTTATTGAAAACCATAACTGTGCTGGCTGATTTACTACACGTCTCTATTGTGTAACATCCATTAAAAATGACATATAGAAATGAGTGCCTGAATCAGTGAAGGAAGCAAAGACAGTAATATAAAGTCATTTTTCTAGATGCTGAAGGTAAAAAAGAAATCAAAACTGTAAAATCTCCATAAAAACCAAATTTCTAAATTATTTGAAACACATAATCAGATAAAATAGAAGTCAAACGATACATACTTTCACCTTTCTCCTCAGCAGCCTCTATAGATTGCTCTTCCTCTAATGTCAGTATTTCTTGCACTTGTCTTCTGTAAGTAAAATATTATTCATCTTAAGACTTATACAAATACTACTGAACCAGGATGCAGATATATTAAATCTTAAATTAAGGATTCATAGATTCATAGATTCATAGATTTCTAGGTTGGAAAAGACCTTAGAGATCATCGAGTCCAATCATCCCTAATCCCCATTAAACCATATCCCTAAGTAGATCATCCACCCTATTCTTGAACACATCCAGGGATGGGGACTCAACCACCTCCCTGGGAGGCCTATTCCAGTGGCTGACAACCCTTTCAGAGAAGAAATACTTCCTAACATCCAACCTGAATCTCCCCTGACTAAGCTTATGCCCATTTCCTCTTGTTCTATCACCCATCACTAATGTAAAGAGCCCTTCCCCTACCTCCCCACCATCCCTTCTCAAGTATTTGTAGGCTGTAATCAGGTCTCCCCTCAGCCTCCTCTTCTCCAGGCTAAACAGCCCAAACTCCCTCAGCCGCTCCTCATAAGTTTTATTTTCCAGCCCCTCGACCAGTTTAGTCGCCCTTCTCTGGACCCGCTCCAGGAGCTCAATATCTCTCTTAAAGCGAGGGGCCCAAAACTGGACACAATATTCCAGGTG